TCTGCATAACTCTAGAACCTGACCCTTCCAGCCCCCAAAATATATAAGTATATGTATATAAAACCACGAATACATTTACTAGTCAATCAGTAGCAGATACAGTCAACTGACCACGCCAACTTCTATGCAACAGCTTGTTATCTTGTCCCAGGGTATTTTAGTTTGATTAAGCAAGGGGAAGAAGACAGGTAACGCACCGGCTGAGAGAAGAGAGAAGGCGAGTTACACTGATATGCTGCCCACTTATTGATTCTTAGTTTATTTGCTCAAAATCTCCAGATTTAGATGTATCTGAGCTTTCCCAAACAAATATTTTTTTAAAAAATAGTGCTGTAACATCTCACAAGAGATGCCTGGTATAACACTTATCTCTGTTTCCTGGTTCCATGCTCATGCCCTGTGCCCACATACATTAAATGCTTAATTTGCTAACAGGAAGACAGTACATTTCAGAGAAGATAAAATCCTGATGAATATGTATTCTCAACTTCTTTCCATCTTGTTATCACTCTTTTAAATAAAAAGACATCTTCTTTTTGGGGTATTTATAGGAAGCTGGCACACTTGATTATCTGTACAATGTGAAATCATTTAAATAAGATGACGTTACATTTTCTGAGTATTGGGGTGGTTTTGATTTTTAAGGACTACTTAGAAACATATTAGAATATAGGGTGGGAAAAGGCCTGAGAAATCATCTATCTTAAATCCTGCCACCATAGCCATCATTTTAAAGATGAGGAAATGGAGGCCTACAGCAACCAACAGGTGTGGAGAGAAGTTAGGGTTGCACCAAGGTCACATGCACAAAGTGAAGTCTGGACCTTGAACCTCTCCAGACCCAGAGTCAAACCTCCTTCACCACATAGCATTCTTGCTCATGCTCTGTCACAGCTTGGACTGGGGGGCCTATCCACACTGGGTGGTGGTAAGCCATCCTCTGGGGCCTGCAGGGATTTCAGAACTTATATAGAGAAGTGAATACATGGCCTCTGTAAGCCAAGAGTTACTAAATTATTAGATTCTGACTTGCCTTTGCTTAAACAAAATTCCTAACGCAATCATGCTATGTGATTCTTCAACAGAAATCTCACAAA